AGTTATTTTTCTATGTCCAGAATTAAAAAGTCATACAAACAGTATTAGAAGGATTAGAGTAGAAACAAAAGATAGTTTAGTGGGACAAATCTTAGTTGTTTAAAATTAAAATTATTTGAGTTGAGTTCATTAAAGTCTTTTCATATGATTTCAGTGATGTGATTACTGCTTTGAATTACCTACATTATATTAAATATCTAGTCTTGAAAAGATATAAAGTTTTTACTAGCATAGATGCTTTTTGGTTGTTAATTACCTTGAAGATGCATTGCCTTTGTTGCCCAACTAGGCAAAAAATAAATAAAATAAAATAACTTTGCTTGGTAATTAGCAGGAAAAAAAATGTGTTTCCAGATAGCATCAATTTCTATTTAAACTAGTGTGAATGATTTTATGAATTTAGGAGCCGTAAAAGAATTACAGTGAATATTGTGCTTGGTCAAGAAAAGAAATTAACTTTGGTAAAAGGGATTGGGGCACTTGGTTCTACAAATAATTTCAGATACTATTAAACTTAACTTGAGGTCCCCCCCCCCTTGAAGAAGTCTTGGTTTTTACCAATTAGCTACTAATTTTTTATATAAAACAAATGTTCTTCCTTTCTACCAGTGTTTATCTAGGCCATGTGCCCAGTACTCATTCAAGCAATGGAGATATTCTAATGAACAAGACAGAAATCCTTAAGAAACTTAAATTCTGGTGGAAAGAAGTGTTTTTTTCCTTTGGTTACTATCTAATTTTCAAACTAGCAAAGGAAACTTTTCTTTGAAACAGAAAATTTAGAAAAAAAATTTATAATACAGACATAATTACCAATACTTTAATACTATGCATTATCAAGAAAACCTAGGGAGGGGTGGGTATGATGAAGTATCAAGGAATGAAGTTTATCAAACTGTGGTGACTATATATGAATTTCCACAGTGAATCCCGTGTGTGTGTGTGTGTGTGTGTGTGTGTGTGTGTGTGTTGTTATAGAGCACTAAATTAAAAGTAACAAAAACAATGAAAGAAGGGAGATCCCAGAGTATAGCAAGTGGATGTGGGGGAGGGAGGAGGGAAAAGAAAGAGAAGGTACGGGAGAATGAGATTGATCAAATTAGGTTATATGCATATATGATGATGGCATAATGAGTCCTATTATTATGTATAAATACAGTGTCCCAATAAAAATATAAAATAAAATTAGAGTTTATACTTGTAAAACTAACCTAAAAGAAAACCCAAAGATAATATATGACATTTCTGTAAATTTTAGGCTCTGCAAGAGGCATTTACTCAATGTTTTAAAGTTTTTTCTTGTTAAAAACATTTTATTTGTTTTATCCATTAAATGATTTCAAATATTTTAGGTTAAAATAATTTAAAAACCTGTTTTCCAAATTAAAATATTAGCAGCATAATTAAATTGTTTGAAGGATATTTTTATTCAACTCTGATACCATTATTGTTTTTAACAATCTAATACAAAGTTTTTCAGTTTTTTTCCTCTACAATTGACAAATATTTGTCTAGCTTTTGATTGCTAAGATTTTTGTCTTTATAGAAGTAAATCACTATGCTTCAATGTAGTTTCTTAATTAATTTCACCAACTTCTTTTTAAAAAATTAATGAATTATTTCATGAATATAAAATATAAAACGTGTAACATTATTTAAGAGAGAATATGAACTAATTTCTGCCTTATTTAAAATCATAGCTCTTCACTTTATAGCTGTAACCTTGGACAGATCACTTAAACAGTTTCTTGATCTTTAAAATAGGGCTAATAACACTTTCCTTACCACATCATTTTTAAAATTAACTGAGTTTAATTGGCACATGGAGCAATATAATATATATCTCTTTTTATAAATATATAATTGTGTGTGAGAGTGTGTGTGTGTGTGTGTGTGTGTGTGTGTGTGAATGATGATGTTTAGGCATATTTTCCCAACCAAATTTAAGGAATTGAAATCAATTATACTTGGGCTGGGGTTGTGTCTCAGTGGTAGAGCACTTGCTTAGCACATGTGAGGCACTGGATTCCATCCTCAGCACCACATTAAAAAAATAAATAAAATTATTTTAAAAAATCAATTATACTTGATTCAAGTGCTGACCTTGGTTTCCTGTTGCAATTATTTTTTCTTTGATTTTACACAATTAATATTGTTCCTATGTAATAACTATATTTAAAGCTTGAGTTAAAAAGATTTATATTTAAATTCTTCACCTCTACATTATTGGTAGAAAAATATCCAGTAAGATTTTTTAAAAAACTCTTCACAAAAGTTTTAGACCATATTTGGTGACAACTTTTTGGAAGGAAAACATGGGCAAAAATAATGATTAAGTGTTCTAATATGCAGGTGAGGACTATGGGAAGAAATTCCTACAAAGAGAACTTAATAGTAAACTTTCCTGGCTTCTTTAGAATGAAAAAATTGTGAAATATCAATACAGGGGAATAAAGATCAAAACTACTATTCTACTTTTTTCCCTGAAGTTCATGTGTTTGCTGCTCATCCATTAACATTAGGGTTTTGTTGTTGTTTCGGGATTTGTTGGTTTTTTTCCCAGTATTAGGATTGAACCCAGGGGTATTCTAACACTGATCTGTATCCCCAGCCCTTTTTATTTTACATTTTGAAATACAGTCTCGCTAAGTTTCCAAGGCTGGGCTTGACCTTGCCATCCTCTGATTTTAATATCCCAAGAATATGACCATACCTGACTGTAATGTTATATTTAATGTTTTGAATTCTTAAGTTTGAACTTCCATAACATCCCAACTGTAAAATTTTAAAGAACTTTTATAGAAAATTATGTGATATTTATTCTTTGCTGAGTTCTGTAAGATTTTGTGTGGAAAGAAACATGGAGTGCATGTTGAGTATACTATCTGTCCTCCTGGTGGAAGAGAAGTATAACAAATCCCTAATTAAATTTGCCAAGATACATAAACATATATTAGTTATCTGCTGCAGTAACAAACATTTAATGAGCATAAATGCATGAATGTGAAGTTGGTAAGGAATTGTTCTACTTTTCATTTAGAAAAACTTCTATTTAATGAAATGCATAAGAAAGGCAAGCCAGTGAGTATTCCTCTCAGCTTAATGAGAAAACATACAATTGTTTCAACTTCAGGAGATATTTTATATTTGACCTGTGTTGGGAACATACACATATATCTTCAGGAATTTTTTTTTTGTACCAGGGATTATAGGTGTGCGCCACTGCGCCCATCAGGAATCTTGATATAATACAAACTTCTATGGATCTGAATTTAACCAAAGTGGATATTTTAGAGCCTCATACAAAAAGGGTAATATTAATGAAATAACATTAAGTAGCAAAACAATATATTAATAAATCATATATATATAATATATTTATTTAAATATTTATATTAAAATAGCAAAAAGACTGTCTCCTTTCGTTGATAACATGGCTCCTGAAAATAGTTTGCATGACAATTTTCAGTTTATAAATGAGGAAACCGGTCTCAGAGTCTAATGTAAATAAACCTATGTTCAAGACCTAGCACCATCAAGAAATTACTTTGAGATCTTGAACAAGTCACTGCTTTACTTTGGGTACAAATATTTCTTTCTTTTTTTTTTTTTTTTTTAGTTGTTGACAGATCTTTATTTTGTCTATTTATTTATATGCAGTGCTGAGAATTGAACCCAGTGCCTCACACATGCTAGGCAAGCGCTCTACCACTGAGCCACAACCCCATCCCCATACTTTGGGTACAAATATTTCTTACGATTGTTCAGTTATAGTTCTGCTACTTTTAATCTTTGCATTATAACCCTAATAGTAGCAACAACTAACTTTTTAAACCCTTTGTCCTTTATTGATTATATTTTGCAGGCTTCTGAAAACAGTTTTTTAAGTTACCCATTCCTAGGCAACTTAAAGTCCCTCATGGCTTCATACACATGATATTTAACTTATAAAATTTCTCTTTGAATATGTGTATATATCTGAACAGTTAAATATTACTTCATCTTGTTATTTCCAATTTCATAAATATTTTGAGGATTCACTATATACTTCGTGCTTAAGGCAGTGAAAAATAATGCAGTGACATAGAACACTAATCCTACTTCTCAAAGTTTATGATTATGAATTTTAAAAAGTAACTTAATCTTTCTGGACCTCAACTTCCTCATGTGTAAGAGAGTTAATAAAGTGGGTAATCTCTAAATGTCCATTTTGACTCCAGAATCTGTGACTCTTATAAAGAGATGTAAGAATCTATTATAGATAGTTTTTAGAGTTTGGTGATTGTTTAATGGAAAGGGCCAATAATAAGCTAAGATTTCGTCTTAGCAGGTTTGTCAAGAACAAAAAAGTTGAATAAGTTTTTTTTTTTTTGTATGTATTGACTTTATTTGATAGAAGTGAAAAGATGTTAATATTGTAATATTGTAATATTAATTTAAGCAGAATATCTCAGAAGAACAGTCAGTTTCTGAAAAAGAGAACTTTTAGGAAGAGGGTGGAGATTTCTACTTATAATATGTCATCAGTCAGGCAAGATTTGAAGAAAAGATGACACACAGAGGAATTTACAGGAGTCTGCAATCGGACATTTAAATCATCTTTATGTGATAAAATCTGATTTTCTTATTTTCCCCATTTGGAATTTTAAGTAGGAAAAATTAAATAACAAGTTTGAATTGCTTGATTTATTGGCACAGCTCTATCTTTAACTGCACTTCCAAATGTTTCATTACCTCACTGTCTGTTTCTATGCATGTTAACATTTTAAAATGTATTTTGGTAGATTTCTAATTCATTGACACTACATGCTATAGTGGCTTGTGCCCATCATTTTTTTTAAACAGATTTGTATTTTTAATTGATTTTCTTTCATTGAACTTACAAAATATCTCAAGATTTTTTTTTTATTTTAAAGCATATACTTAGGCTGTGGTTAAAATGGTTGCTTATTTTTTATATTCATATAGTTCCTACTCTATATAAATTCTCTCTTTTACAGATATTGATGATGCTCAAATACTTCCCCGCTCAACTAGAGTCAGGCATTTTTCACAAAGTGAAGACACTGGAAATGAAGTTTTTGGTGCCTTGAATGAGGAACAGCCATTGCCTCGAAGTAGCAGCACTTCTGACATCTTGGAACCATTCACTGTTGAACGAGCCAAAGGTGCAGTTCCTGTCATTGACAGTTCATCCCGTCATGCACCAAGCTTGCAGAGTTCCACAGAGGCTTCTTCAATAACTAGATCCACTGAAAGCTACATCACTGATACTCATAGTAGAGAGTCTTCTCTGGAAGTTGGTGATAGCATATATGACCATCTTTGTCATTTAATAGGTCCAGTAGAACTTGCAGATTCAGCTTTCGAACAAATCCAGTACATTGACCTTGAAGGAGATGACGATCTTCTTTCTTCCCTGAAAGAATATTTTAAAGAAAGTCAGGGTAAAAATGAGATAGGTAAAGATACAGCTTCTCCAGAAGTGATTATTGCAGTAACTAGGGATGAAAGATCATCCTTAGATAAATTAGAATACACAGATCAGGAAATTAAATCAGAAAATGTCATGTCTTTTGTTGGGACTCCTGAAAATATGCAGTTTGAAAAAGAACCAAACTCATCTGTCTTCATGAGTAATATTGCACCTAATCAGTCAGATACTTTCATGAGACCACAAACTTCTGAAAAATCCGAGCAACCAAACATTGATAAAAAGTCATCGGAGCCTAGTTTAGATAGCCCTTGTGATAAAGAAAAAAGGAAATATCTGTATAGACAATCAGCCACAGAATTAGATGCCTGTGTAGACGTAACACTAGCTGAAAAGCTTAAGGGTATGCAAATTAATGAAAAAATCACTGTCCCACATGTAATGCATGTCAAGAAGACTACACTAAAACCATCTGTTAACCGCAGAGTGCCTCATAGTTCAAACACTAGCAAACTTTCTCCAACTAAAAGGAGCTTGTCTGAAACAGTAACCCATAGGGCCAAAATCATGAAAATTGCTACTAAGAAACGAAATAGTGTTCATGTTACTTTTAGACCATCTACTGAGTCTGTTCAGTTTTATAATCCTCTGGAAAACAAAGAGGCTCCGTGGAAGATGAGACTACGGAAGCTTGGTGGCTTTAGTAGTAGTAACAATAGCAGCACCAGCAATCTCCATACCAACTCAACTAGTGGTACAGAGCTTGTAAAACCTGGTGTGTACAGGCCTTTAGATACAATTAGTGCAGCATCTGTTAGTAGCAAAACAGTGAAGGAATCTACAGAGATTCCCACTACCGTATTACAAAAAGAAGAAATTGCAAGTAATCAGTTAAGCAGTCGTAGTACTCTTAGGTCATCAAGTCATGAGGCAGGTCTACAGCAGGGCTCCCTGGGTGGCGTTTATAAAACTGTTGTACATGCTCTTTCGAAGCCGAAGGCAAATGTTTCCCCACAGAGGCAGAACAGAATGCCACCAGAGGCTCCACTGAGGGATCTGTACAGTCATGTAATGGGCTATTTTGGAAGGAAAGCTGCAGGTGAGCACTAACAGTGTGCAGAGCGCAAAAGGAGAAAGACAGCACCAGTTTGGCTTAATGCAACTGAAGCAAGCTATAAGCAATCAAAGAGCTTTGGGATGGTCACTGCTTTCTCTCTGTTTGGTTATGCATGCGCCTTTCCCCAGCTGTATTTTTCCCAGCATAAGATGTTTATTTAAATTACTAATTTCCCTTATAAGGCATTTAGTTAAACCTCTTTGCTGCTGAACAACAAGTTAGAAAAGAGGAAGATACAGGAAAAATTTAATGACCTTTCAAAGGCTACCTAAATCAGATATTTTCCTTAGTATGTATCACATGAGTCTTGAAATTCAAGTTTACTAAGGAGTCATTATGCTTTCTCTCTTGCCCAGCTATGTTTATTTTTAACAGGGCACTAGCTGTATCTAATTGGGTTCATTTGTTTTTACTGTTGAATTATGTGGTTTTATATTTTTTCTTGGTGAAAATTACTTTGACATCTAATAACATAATAAGTATCAAGGCCTACAATCAACACCTACATATAGTTAACTGGTCATTGACTAAGAAATTATTTGTTAATTTTCAAAATGAATTTAATAATTTTTAAGTCACTTCCAAACATGCCGTAAGCTTTTAGTGTTGCATTCATTTGAATGCAAGTCATGTAATTGAAACACTTATCATTACTTTCTTTTTTCTGATATTTTAAATGTGCATAAAGGTTTCATGAAGTTAATCCTAATTTAATTATGGAACCTCTGTGGACAGATTACAGAAAGAAAGCAAGATTATGATAACTGTTTTATCTTGATTCAAAGTTAAAATAACTTAACAGATATAGAAAATTAACTTTCAGCAGTAAGGTAGGTTTTGATTTTATTTGTTTTTAACATGGTTTTGTTAGCATGATTAACAACGCTGTATAATGCATCTTGCATTGAGCCATTAATGCCACCTGAGGGCAGTATTTGACAGCTTAGCAAAGCCTGGCCAGTAATATAAAGACAATGGTATTTCACAATGAATTCTGACCAGTACATTTTCTTATTCTGAAATGCTTTGTAGTTTCGTAGGAATATAAACAGTGCTGATTTGCTTTTCGTTTTCAGAGAGATTAATTTCAAATAGCAATAGCAGTGATATACTTACTTTCAGTAAGTTAGTTTCCAAAGTTAAAATTTTCTTGTAATATAAATCATAATGTAGTCATTTAAAAAAATCAAAATGATTTTTATAATTTTTTAAGCTTTTGTAAAGATGAACATCTTTTTTCCTGTACTAAAATTAGATTTTTTTTTTTTTAGTGGATAGAAACAACATTCTATGAAAATCATAGAATTTTTATTTATAAATATCCAAACTTAAATGTACTTGTGTCCCATTGAGATTTGCATAGATTGAAGGGATATATTTCTTGCAAATATTCTTTGGGGGAAAATAATAAATTATTAAGTCTCTAAATAGAAACACATAGGCAGGAAGATAGATAAATAAATATACCAGTTTCTTTAAAGGCAATATTAACCTGACTTCAGCTAGTGCTTATCTGTAAGCTTTCTTGCTGTTTAAGGTTATACTGAAGATTGACTAACATCTGCTTAGTTGAATAAAATAAATATCAATTTACTAATTCTTAAAATTAAATCTAAAAGAAGGAAAATTATTCATAAGTGCATGTTTGGCAAAATAATTGATATGGCATAGGTACTTTGAGTTATTTAAGTTTAGAAAGTGCAGTTAAATTTTTCCTCACTATATATAGTTATTTATTTGCTTTTAGTCAATAAAGAGGACATGAGCTCCAAACTGCCTCCTCTTAATAGTGATATTGGCAGCAGCAGTGCTAATGTTCCTGATCTGATGGATGAGTTTATAGCAGAACGACTTCGAAGTGGTAATGCCTCGGTAAGTTATATTTCTATTTTATTTATTTGGTTTCAAACAGGAAACTTAAGAGAACCAGAATATATGTATCTGTGTACATATATATGCATCTAATGCATATGTGGAAATTTTCTTTTAAAACAACCTTCTCCCATATTTAACCTTTTTAAAATTTTTTAAAATTTTTTTATTTGTTTTAGTTAATTATACATGACAGTACAATGACCTTGACATATTATACGTTTGAACCAGATGGGATATAATTTCTCATTTTTCTGAGTGTACAGGTTGCAGAATCACATTGGTCATGCGGTCACGTATATACACACATCAGTAATAATGTCTATTTCATTCTATTATCCTTCCTTTCCCCCCATCCCCTCCCCTTCTTTCCCTTCCCCTCCCATCATTTCTCTCTACCCAATCTGAGGTGAGAGGGAAAAAAAAAGAATAGCTTCACCTTAACACTTTTTTTAAGTTAAGGTTTTTAAAATTACATTTTTGTAATACTTTTTAATCCAGAGATATAAAACAAGCAGGCTTGTAGTTTTCACTAAAAGAATATTGAAATATCTGTTTGTTCAAATAGTAGATTTAAGCCACTACCTTCCTAGTTCCCCCTACTTGGTCCCACCTTGGTGCCAGTTGCCAATGTCAATAGCAAAGATAACATTAGAGGTCATGTGGCCTACCTCCCATGGTTTTCATAATGCAAATATTGCTTAATCATTCCAGATAACTTTGGAATAGACTTTAAAGTTTTCTTTATTTTGAAGATAATGGCAATGTCTTATTCCTAATAATGCTTAATTGTTCGGGGAGGATGAGTATGTATGGGATTGGTCATACTCCATTTGAGTTTCAAATTTTTGGTGACTTATCTTTTTTTAAGTTTAATTTTTTTCTTTTTTTAAAATTTATTTTTTAGTTGTAGTTGGACACAATACCTTTATTTGTTTATTTTTATGTGGTGCCGAGGGTTGAACCCAGGGCCTCGCACACGCTAGACAAGCGCTCCACCGATGAGCCACAACCTCAGCCCCTATTTTTTTTTTTTCTTGAGTGGGTAAAAATCATTGTAGAATCATTATAGAATGACTTTTTAGACATCATTCTTCCTTCTTACCCATTCTCTCTTCTATTTACTGCTGCTTTTTCCTGTTAAATACTTCACTCTTAATTCTGTTTAATTTGAATTTACTGCATGGATCCTACTGAAGCTTTGCTTTAGGTAGATCAACATTGGTGTAGGCACCAGATCCAGCCCTTATATAAATTGCTTAATGAGTATGTTTCCCTCTCCTCTTGTAGGCCCTAAGTCTCAGAACTGAATGTGATGATTGTCTTGGAAATTAAAGGTTTCAGATGTTTAATGAGAATACATTTTTTTTAATGTTTAAATGTTTCTTGAATTTTTAGACTATGACAAGAAGAGGAAGTAGTCCAGGTAGCCTTGAAATTCCCAAAGACCTCCCTGATATTCTAAACAAACAGAATCAGATGCGCCCTATTGATGACCCTGGTGTGCCTTCGGAATGGACTTCTCCTGCTAGTGCAGGGAGCAGTGATCTTATCAGCTCAGATAGTCATTCGGATTCTTTCAGTGCTTTCCAATATGATGGCCGAAAATTCGACAGCAAGTATCTTTTAACATTTGAGTAGTATGTTTTGTATTGTCTGTTCAAGACTGACTTATGAATTATATAGCAGTCATCTTCCTTTCCAAAGTTACTCAGGCAGTTGATCCTGCATATTTTGATTTCATTTTCCAGTAAAATTCCAAAGGAAGTTTTAGGGAATCATCTTAGGTTGAGACTAAGTGCCAAACTAAGTGCATTTAAAAAACAATTCTGCCCTTTCAAAAACAAATTATAATTTTAAGACCAGATGAACTTTATATTAAAATAAAGAACGGTTATGGTTATGACTTGCTACTATTTCATGTAGTCATATTTGGGAACCACTGACCAGTTATGTGCAGTGCTACATTACCCAGAACATTTCTTGAATTATTGTTTTATGTTAAAATAACATCAGCTGGGTGTGGTTGCACACGCCTGTAATCCCAGCAGCTTGGGAAGCTGAGACAGGAGGATTGCGAGTTTAAAGCCAGTCTCGGCAATAGTGAGGCACTTAGCAACTCATTGAGACCCTGTCTCTAAATAAAATACAAAATAGGGCTGGGGATGTGGATCAGTGGTTGAGTACCCCTGAGTTCAATTCCTGGGTAAAAAAAGAAAATAACATCAGTGATATAGCTTGTTACTGTATCACTACCACATAGTTATTCTGCTGTTATTTTCTATTATACTTGGCACCAAAATTAAAAAGAAAAAGTAAAAACCTTGGCAATCAATTTTGTGAAGAGCTAGGAGATGCATTGGCGAATTATGTAATTCCTCCCTTTGTGGATTGATTGTATATTAATTCCAGATAAAACATGATTTAAAAGAAAGATGATTTTTATCCTATATGTATAATTTGTATATTTCCTGTGCTAGAGATTATAAAATGTTTGAAAAACATTATGTTACTAGCCAGCAGAAAACATGAATAAGAATAGTGATGACGTATCATGTCTATGTAGATACAATAAATTATAAATAGAAGTTTAGGGGAAATGTTAATGTTTGGTCTTTTTGGTGATTCAGCTGTCTTTTATATAAATATTTTTGTTTTATAACTGGGATTCATATATTCTTTCTTCCTTATAGACTTTGGCTTTGGAGCTGACACTGGAATTCCATCATCTGTTGATGTGGATTCATGTTCTGGCCATCATCAAAGTGCTGAAGAGCAGGAAGTAGCTAGTCTAACCACACTTCATATAGATTCTGAAACAAGCAGTCTCAATCAACAGGCTTTCTCTGCTGAAGTTGCAACAGTTACTGGTAAATTTATCACCTTTATATGTTGTAATTGAGTTTAGATGGATCCTATGATTATCATTCATATGATTATCATGTATGATTATTCATGATTTTGATATGTGATTATATGATTATATGATTATTATGATATATGATACAAGTGATATAGCTTTGTATATACTTTTTTAGTCATTCGTTGTGCTAGTTTTAAGAATTACATAATATATAGAACCACACTTTTGAAGAATTAAGATACACAAACACATGTTTAATTTATATTGGGTTTTGCTGTATAGAAAGAAATAACAAAAGGGTAAAATTTGGCTATTGTCAACTTTAAAATATTGATATTTCTCTGCTAGAAAAAGCTTAAAGTAGAAAGAAAAGAATTTAATGTTTCAGCTACTTGCCTAGCACTAGCAGCACTATACAACTACCGTCAGTAGTTCTATACAGTATTAATTTATCCTAGGTACCTGAGTTTCTATAGCTGGGATAAGAATGGGAGTAGATATTCTTATTTTTACTGATGGCTCTGATTTTATGTTAGTCCTACGGTAGTATGAGATGGGGTACCTAGATGCAAAAGCTTGTACATTATAATGGTTTTGTTAACCTTGGCCAGTTCATATGCTTAATCTTTTGAAGTATTGTTATTGGGATTTTAAGTATTATATCTTAGGGAAAGGTATTGAAGAGTACTTCATGGTAATTTTATGAAATTATACTTACAGGCTCAGAAAGTGCTTCTCCAGTCCATTCAGCTGTGGGATCCAGGTCACAGACACCTTCCCCTTCTACATTGAATATAGACCACATGGAACAGAAGGATCTACAGCTTGATGAGAAACTCCACCACTCCGTTCTTCAAACACCAGATGATCTAGGCAATACTTGGAAATTAGATATTTGCCATTTTTCCTTTCAAAACATTAGTGTTAAAAGATCTTAAATAAGTCATCTTAAATTTGATTATGTATGATTATTATAAATGTTCAGACATTTCTGACTCTTAGAAATTTTTACTATATCATTTTTTCTAGCTTTTAAAGAAAGCTATTTATACTGATTTTTGCTCATTTTATCATAGTTGATTATAGTCTTGGAATTAGTGATAGTATTATTTTTATGTTATGTTATTTATTGATACAGTGCTATTTCCTAAAATTTAAAATACATAATTGGTATCATTACTCTTAATATTATATTTGAAGATCCTACTGACTCACTGGAGTATTATTGCTTACTAATCAAGCTTTCAGTGCAACAGTTTTGATCATCAATAATTTTTTTTATTGATTTTTGACTTTGTGGGTATTCAACTAAACTTTAAAAGTAAGCAGTCCATTGGGCTGGGGTTGTGGCTCAGTGGTAGAGCACTTGCCTGGCATGTGTGAGGCCCTGGGTTCGATCCTCAGCACCGCATATAAATAAATAAATAAATAAAAGATCCCTTTACAACTAAAAAATATTTTTAAAAAAGTAGACAGTCCAAATATTTTTATTTTTAAGTATATATTTAAAAAGTGACTTGGGGGCGCCAGGGTTGTGGCTCAGTGGTAGAGCGTTTGCCTAGCATGTGTGAGGCACTGGGTTCAATCCCCGGCTCCACATAAAAAAAAAAAAAAAGGTATTGTGTCCATCTATAACTAAAAACATTTTTTAAAAAATGTTTAAAAAGTGACTTGGAGAACCTCAGAAACTACAAGTTAAAAAAGAAAAGTTAGGTTTACTAATTCCTGCATGATGTTACAAGTATGAGATAGACATTTTGCAAATGTACCAAAAACTTTAGTCAAAGACATAGTTGATGAAATATTTGTAATAACTACTATGAAAAGTCAGTTTTTATTGTTAATGCAACACATTTATTGTCTGACCAAAGGAAGAAATTTAAACCTGTATGTTTGTTGGTTTGTTTGTTTGTTTAATAACTATTTTGGTTTTTTTAAGGTGCTCATTCCTAATGTGCAGTCACATAGCTCTATTTTTCTAGTTTGTGGATTAATTTTGAACTTTTCCTTATTTTGACCTTCAGGTTTTTATTTGTTTTTATAGTACCCCCTAATTGTTTGTTAAAAATTTTAAACTTATAGGGCTGGGGCTGTAGCTCAGTGCCAAAGTGTTTGCCTAGCATGCATGAGGCACTGGGTTTGATCCTCAGCACCACATAAAAATAAACAAATAAAATAAAGGCATTATATCCATCTACAACTACAAAAAAGTTTTTTTTTTAATTTAGACTAGTAAAGTGAAAACCCATAAGTCCTCACAAATTCCCTAGTTTTTAATATTTTTTCCTTTATCTGTATCTATACATATGAACATATATACACAATATGTATATGTGCCTTCCTTTTCCTTTGCTGGACTACTTAAGAGGGAATTTCAAGATAGCAGACCCTTCACATCTAAATACTTCAGTGATATGTGCTAAGTGTTCATTTTATGTATAACTACAGTGGAATGTCCTCATTCATAATATTTAACATTGAAACTTTATTGTTTTTTTGTTCCATAGTCAAATATCCTCAGTTGTCCCTACAGTGTTCTTATAGCCACCCTACACCAACAACTCCATCCAGAATTTATTGAGGCATCATTGCTTACCTTTTTTTTTTGGTACCAGGGATTGAACTCAGAGGAACACAACCACTAAATCACATTCCCAGCCCTATTTTGTATTTTATTTAGAGATAGAGTCTCACTAAGTTGCTTAGCGCCTCACTTTTGCTGAGGCTAGCTTTGAGTCTTGCAATTCTTCTGCCCCATCCTCCCAAGCTGCTGAGATTACAGGCATGCCCCACTGCACTCAGCGGTTGCTTACCTTTTAATTGTTTAAAAATTTTGTTAGCTTTACTTGCGAAGGATAAGTTAGAGACAAATTAGTTGATTCACTTCTATATTATAAAGGTACTGTAAAATAGAAAGGCATTATAGCAATGGTTAGAATGTCAGTGTTTTTTGTATTCTGTTTTAGTGGCTTTACACCAGAAGCCTATTTTTTATTATGGAGAAATATTAATTATTTAGTATCTTTTTAAAAATATTTTTTAGTTGTAGATGGACACAATATCTTTATTTGTACTTATTTATTTTTATATGACACTGAAGATCAAACCCAGGGCCTCACACATGTGAGGCAGGTGCTCTACCACTAAGCTACAACCCCAGCCTTAATTATTTAGTTTCTTAATAATACAGTCAGTTACTGTATACTTTACCTGCAGAGAGAAAATTAAAGCATTGCAAATAAAGGATATACTAAGAGTGAATTTAGCGTAAATTATCAACAGATTGGGGTATTATCAAATACAAAAAATCATAAACTTATGATTATTTCGTTCTGCAAAATTTTTAGTTCCCCAAATTCTTTAGATGCATTGGAATCTTTAATGGTGTTCTATACATTGAACAGAAGAACAGATCATATATTGAGTAATGTATTTTTTTAGAGCTAGAAGACAATAATGATAATCTAGCTAAACCATCCATTTTATAGATGAGAAAGTATAGACTCTGTGAAGTTATCAACTTGTTTAACACATAATCAGTGGCAGAAATGATGTGAGGACCATGTATTTATTACTTTTGATCTTGCTGGTATTAATAGGTAAAAGAAGTATGGTGGTTTTTATTAGCCTTGAATTTTAATAAAATTATCATTTTTGTGCCATTGTGATACCTCGTACTGTTAGGAATAGCTTCATTGTGAAGCACATAAATAAATATATTTCTTTGGAAGTTTTAACTACAAGGAATAGGTTTATGAAGACTTCATTTAAGAACTACTTTTACCCTGAGATTTTCTATTAACTTGATGAAATAACAAGAAGGAGTTGTTAGATAAAAGTGAAAATTAATGTATATATCAAAGAAATTTCTCCATCTGGTATTTGCCCAGTGAGTGGTATCCATATGTATATCTAGTTAGAAGCACTATTGTAATTATTGCCATAATAGGGAATTATGAATTGGTGAGGTCTTGACCTTCTCAGGAAAAAACAAAACTTAGGTACATTCACATTTCTTTTATTCACTTCTGTAGATATTTAAGATTGTTAATTTAAGTTCTTTTTGGTTTTTGCTATCAATTCTCTGGAAATTACTAACACAATTGTATTTTTTTTTTCTATAGAAATTAGTGAATTTCCATCTGAATGTTGTAGTGTGATGGCAGGGGGTACTCTCACTGGATGGCATGCTGATGTTGCTACTGTTATGTGGCGAAGAATGCTAGGCATTTTGGGAGATGTCAATGCAATTATGGATCCTGAAATACATGCTCAAGTTTTTGATTACCTCTGTGAACTTTGGCAGAATCTAGCCAAGGTAAAAAAGACAATAAAGGATATAAAAGAAAAAGACAAGAAAAATAAAGTATTAAGAAATAGAAAAAGCTTAGAGAACATTGTTACATGCACACCTTCCTATAGATAAACTGGTATCCAGCATGGTGAAGTCACTTAACTATAGTTAAATATGTGTTTTGAACCTGAGTTTGAACTTTAGTTTAAGGTAAAGCAAACTGAAAGAGAAAATAGTTTTCATAGTCTTGTCCCCTTTTTTTTTTGAAAATTACAGATTAGAGATAACCTCGGCATTTCAACAGATAACCTGACTTCCCCTTCTCCACCAGTTTTGATTCCTCCGTTAAGAATTCTTACACCTTGGCTTTTTAAGGTAAGCTTAATATATAAAATATTAATTTTAAATTATCATTTAATAAGTTTGAAACAGTTTATAAAATTTGGACTATTATATGGTCTTCTAAAGCACTTAGTTTTTAGAGTATTTTTAGGAAGTCATTGAGCGTTATTTAAGAGAGGAGAGTAGGCATGCCAGAATTATAGGATACGTTGTTTTTATGTATTTAATAAAGCAAAAGTGAATATAGAAAATTATATTTGTATTGTATTTAAGTAAAAAATAGACCTTCAGTTGTATGACAGAATATGCTGTGTATATTCAGAGTTTTAATTTTTTTAAAAGTAGTATTTGAAATTTGAGGTATTTTTCTAAGTGGAATCCTTTGTGATTTTTTCACCCCTACATTATAACATTTTGGATAATAACAGTAGTCTCAGTAGCCCCGAGGTTTGGTTTATTAAAGAAATTAAACCAACATAGAAATAAATGAAAACAGATATATTATTTGCTATATTCAATTAAATATCTAAGAAACAATATTTGTTTTTGAGTATTAAAACTGATTTTTTAATTTAGGCAACCATGTTGACTGATAAATATAAACAAGGTAAATTACATGCTTATAAGCTCATTTGTAATACAATGAAAAGAAGACAAGATGTATCTCCAAATAGAGATTTTCTAACACATTTCTACAATATAATGCATTGTGGGTTACTTCATATTGATCAGGTAAATATATATATGCCTTCTAAGAAATTATTTTATCTGTTTATCCTTAATTCTTAATTCTGTTTAACTTTTGATTTTTAAGATCTAGAATTAAAACTAGCTCCTGTATATAGCAGTTTATATAGAGTTTGATTCCATTTTAAGACCTTATTTGTTCTTAAAGCATGGTTGAAAATAAGCCATTTTATGGGTTAGGGGGTTGATTTGAGTGTTCCTCCAACTTTAATGTTATACCAACTAGTTTACTTTTTGAAGAGGTTAAACCATTCTTTGCTTAAATTGACAATATCTTTCTGTGATGCCCCATAGTCCCTATTACTAGACATTTTATAATTGATAGTTGATATTTGAAGCATATGAATTTGTTCACCTCATCTTACAGTAGTCAGAGCTGTTTTTTTCTACTTTTTCTTATTACCACCAATTATAGTAACATGGTTACAATTATATTGACTTTGCAATTGTATCAGTTATAATCATTAAATAGTCATAAATATAACCAGAACATTATTCAGGAGTCTTGATATTGGCTATAAAACTAAAAAGTATGGGAGATTACAAGTCAAAGTAATTAAATATTTTTATCCTTATGTGATTGAAACTTGACTTGTAGGTCACTACGAGAGTACTGTTAATATTAAAAGATGGTAATTATATTTCTTTCTGAAAACACTTCTAGCATTAATCTAAAGTAATCACAGTTTCTAACCCTATAAACATATCTCAAATAAATTGACACTATTAGTTACTAGAGAGAGCTTTTGTTTAAAATAGGTTAAATTGAGTAATATGACCAAATCCACTGAATCCTCATACTAAATGCCAAAAACATAGTGAATGAATAACCAGGAACATTCCCTTTAAATGTACCCACTTCTAGATTTCCAAAGTTGAACATCTATTATTTAAGGACTCTATATAAAAAAAGAGAATCTCCACAGTTGCCACATAGCAAGTCATGTGGGTTCAGAGATGAAAGTTATCAGTTGGAGACAAATAGGTAGCAGAAGATGCTACTCTGTTGTTCAGTTTTATATGTGTAGGCATTAACCCTCGAAGTGACAAGTCTTTTCTGCTATCTAGTGTGGAAAAAAATGTCATAGGCTTTGTCAGTTAAAACAAATTTGTTTTAAGTTTATGTATTTTTTGGAAGAATTCAATTAGTCTCCAATTAGTCATCCAATGTACAATTATTACTTTTTTGTTTCACATATTATTTATGTTTAAGGATATAGATTAGCTGGTACCCAAGATTATATATGTGATATTCTTTTTCCCTTTACTTCTTTATTCTAAGGATATTGTCAATACAATTATCAAGCACTGCTCACCTCAATTTTTTTCACTTGGTTTGCCTGGTGCCACAATGCTTATTATGGATTTTATTGTAGCAGCTGGTAGAGTGGCTTCTTCAGCTTTTCTTAATGTAAGTTTTTATTTATTTTTTCTTCATAATATAACAAGCTTTTGTTAAGCAGGATTCAACTAACAGAGCCACAAAGGAAGAACTGTTGTGGATAAAATATAACAAGCTGATATTGAGCAAAGTTCGTAGTTTTAATTGAGTTAGATTCTTGTATGTTAAAAAATGTAAGCAAGAAATTTTGAAGTGTAAGAAATCACTAAAATTACTTGATGAATTGACTGTAAAAATGGGTAACATCTGATAAGCAAAACAGGTAAGAATCTAAGGGAAAGAAGAAAGTGAAGAAAGGGCATTCATTGGGTGCTATCAAAAGATAAATAAGAAACAGTAGGGAATAATCATTATACAGTGTGTATAATATCAAATCATGATGTTGATCAAATTGAATGTATTCAGTCTTTATTTGACAAATATTTAATGGGGAAAAAAAATGAATGAGATAACCCAGGAAAATGCCCCCACTGTACTCTTAACACTGTGTGTGAGAATTTTTTTTCACACAGTTATGGAGCTGAATGAAACACAGCTCATGAGAAAATGCCAATGAAGTGGATATGACTGAAATATGTTCATATGTAAGTGGCAATGGTGAACTAGAGACAAAGGCAGTTAGCTGTGTATATAATGCTGAAAAGGTCAGATTTTATCCTAAGGAAGGATTGAATAACCATTGAAATATTTTAAGCAAGTAGTGACTTGATGAAATTAATATTTTGGAAGAATCACCCTGGAGCAATGTATAAATGAGAAATAACAACTGAAAATCTATTGGAAAAACTGAGTGTATATGGAAGAGAAAAATACTTGGGCAACACTTTAAAACTTGCAAAGCAATTTAACAGATTATATCTTTGAAAGCTGCAAAAGACTAAGAGTGAATGAAAGGAGTTCTATTTGTGCCGTGGCAAGGTACTGTGTATTAGATATTCATGAGGAGGTGTCAGGAGAAATACTGCATATCCAAGTCAAGAGCTCAAGGGAGGTGTTGGGACTGAAATTTATAAAGCTGGTAGATAGGAGTTTAAAGCTATGAAACTACATGCAGTCACCTAGAGGAAATGTCCAAATATTGAAGAGAAAAACCAGTATTTATGACTAGGTTTTGTTGTTGTTTTGGTTTGGTTTTGGGGTTTTTTTTGTTGTTGTTGTTGTTGTTGTTTTGGTAGTATGGATTGAACCTAGGGGCACTTAACCACTGAGCCACATCCCCAACCCTTTTCTGTTTTTATTTTGAAACAGAGTCTCACAAAGTTGCTTAGGGTCTCTCTAAGTTGCTGAGGCTAGCTTTGAAATTGCAGTCTTCCTGCCTCAGCCTCTCAAGCTTCTGGGATTATAGGTGTGTGCCACCCCACCAGCTATAACTAGTTTTATAATCTTTTTTCAGTTCCTTAAGAACAATAATTTTGTCTTCATTGTGGTATTTCCAGGGCCTTGCCCCTATTAGTGGATATTGATTGATTGATTGAAAGTTAGCATATAAAGAAACATATAACATATAAAGAAAAAACGTTTATGTAGCTCACAGTTTGGGAGATTGAAAGACCAAAATAGCAAAGCTCTGGCTCTCTTACAAGGGCTCCCTGACTGGATCACTTCATACTGGACGGCATCATTATGGGAGTATGTGCAAAAGGGAAATGACATAGCAAAGGGAGGGGCCAGACTGGTACTTTATTTATTTGTTTGTTTGTTTGTTTGTTTATTGGTACTGGGGATTGAATCCAAAGGCGTTTTACCATTGAACTACATCCTCAGGCTTTTTAATTTTTTATGTTGAGACAGGGTCTTGCTAAGTTGTTGAATTCCTTGGTAAGTTGCTGAGATTGGCCTCAAATTTTTAATCCTCCTGCCCCAGCCTCCCAAGTTACTGGGATTGCAGATATGGCACCCACGCTTACACTTTATAATCACTCCCTCTTGTGACAATGAATTCAGGGTCCCATGAGAGTTACATTAATTCCTTTTGATGGCCCAACCCAGTGACCTAACTACCTACCACTGCGTCCCACCTCATAAAAGTTCCATCTTTCAACATCACCATGCTAGGGACCAAAATAAACCTTGGGGGTGAGGGGAACCACATCCAAAGAATAACAATTCCTTTGTCTGGAATATAGAGGGATATGAATAAATTAGATATACTGTGTGCTCAAGGGATATAGTCTGCAGCTGGGGTGATAGGAAAGCTTTTTAACAACTATGAAATATAGTGTATGTTCTAAGAGGAGGAACATAGCATAATGATGAAAAGCATGGAGTCTAGAGCCAATCTGCCTGGTTCATATCCCAGCTGTACTGCTTACTAGCCATGTGACCCAGGGTGAGTTATTTGATTTCTCTGTGTCTTAGTTTCTTTGTCTATAACAGAAATAGCTTGACTAGTGGGATTATTTTATAAGGATTTAGCCACATGGTTGGAGAATTATATGACACATTTTATGCATCATATAAAAGAATTTGTTAAATGAAATCATTGGGAATTTTATTAGTTTATAGATCTGATGCAGTTTTAATGAAAAAGCATATGAATAAGTCCCTGAAAGATCAATAGTATTTGTATAATGGAGGTAAGGGAAGGTATGCTAGGCAGAGGTAAACAGACATAATAAATGTGTTCAAAGAAGGGTGACAGTACATTTTGTTTAAAGGCTAATCTGCAAGATTGTAGTAGACAGAACAGAAAAGTGCTAAAGATCCTTGCTACTGGAAGTGCAGTCTGCACATTAGAAACATTAGGCACGATCTAGGTACTTAGTAGCAGTGCAGATTTTCGGACCTTATCCCAGACCTACTCAATCAGAATCTGCATTTTGGGGGATAGAAAATACTGGGGAGCCACACATGATAGGCAAGCTGTCTACCACTGAGCTGCAACCCAGTCCTTTTTATCTCATTTTGTTGTTGATGGACCTTTATTTTATTTGCTTGTTTATATGTGGTGCTGGGAATTGAACACAGTGCCTCACGCGTACGAGGCAAGTGCTCTACAGCTGAGCTACAACTCCAGCCCATTTCTTATCTCATTTTTGAGATGAAGTCTTAATAAGTTGCACACGCTGGCCTCAAACTTGTAATCTTTTTGCTTCATCCTCCTGGTAGTTGGGATAATGTATGTACCACATGCCCGCAAAATATGCATTTTAATTAGATCACAAATGATTGGTAGAATTATTGGTTAAAGATTGAGAAGCACTGCTTTAGATTATATCTTGGAAAGTTGTGAATGCTGCAGATCAGGTTATGATGCTATGTTAGCTTAAGAGTTAAATATTTTAAAGTGCAAAGAGAAATGGTGAGCCTGTCCCTTGCAAATATTAAATGAATATATTAATCTAAAAGATTAAATGGAAGACAAACTACAGACAGTAAACAAGTTACAAGTTTATTGTAGTATTATCAGTGTACACAGATTATTAGTCTTGGATACTGGTGAAAATGATAGAACTCAGAAGAGACTTATTTATAAACCAGTGCCAGTTTTTACTAACTTTTTGTGAAAACTATTACTCTTCAGTGGGCCAGTTGTACCAGCACATTTCCTTTAGCTTTTCTCAAAGTTCTTCAATAGAATTAAGCCCCAGTGTCAAAGGTATCTGTTTTTTTGTTGTTGTTGTTCTAATTAGTTATACATGACAACAGAGTGCATTTCAACTCATTGTGCACAAATGGAGCACAACTTCTCATTTCTCTGGGTATACACAATGCATAGTCACATTTGTGTAATCATACATGTAATATGGTAATGATATACATCTTATTCCACCATCTTTTCTACCCCAGGTCCCCTCCCCACTCCCTTTTGCCCCATCCAAAATTCCTCCACACATCCCATGACCACCCCCATTATGGATTAACATCCACTTATCAGAGAAAACATTCAGCCTTTGGTTTTTATTGGCTTACTTCACTACCACTGAGCCACAACCCCTGCCCCTGTTGTTTCTTGATAACTGCCATTCTGACTGGAGTGAGATGAAATCTTAGAGTAGTTTTGATTTGTATTCCTCTAATTACTAGAGATGTTGAAGTTTTTTGTATTTCTCTTGACTGATTGTATATCTTCTGAGAAGTACCTGTTCAGCTCCTTAGCCCATTTATTGACTGGGTTGTTTGTTTGTTTGTTTGTTTGTTTGGTGTTAAGTTTTTTGAGTACTTTATATATATTGAAGATTAGTGCTGTATCTGACATGCATGTGGCAAAAATTTGCTCCCAAAATGTAGGCTTTTTATACCTCATTGTTTGTTTCCTTTGCTAAGTGGAAGCTTTTTAATTTGAATTCATCTCATTTATTGATTCTTGATTTCATTTTCTGCACTTTAGAAGTCTTGTTAAGGAAGTTGGGGCCTCATTCGACATGATGAAGATTTGGGCCTACTTTTTCTTCTATTAGGCTCTGGGTCTCTGGTCTAATTCCTAGGTCCTTGATCCACTTTGAGTTTTGTGTAGGATATGAAAGAGGGGTCTAATTTCATTTTGTTACGTGTGAATTTCCAATTTTCCTAGTAGCACCATTTGTTGAAGAGGCTATCTTTTCTCCAATGTCTGTTTTGGGTACCTTTGTCTAATAGAAGATACCTATATTTATTTATGTGGGTTGTAAAGACAATGTCTTATATTCTGTATGCTTGGTCTACATGTCTATTTTGGTGCCAATACAATGCTGTTTTTGTTATTATAGCTCTGTAGTATCATTTAAGGTCTGGTATTATGATGCCTCCTGCTTCACTCTTCTTGCTAAGGATTGCTTTAGCTATTCTGGGTCTCTTATTTTTCCAGATGAATTTCATGATTGCTTTTTCTATTTCTATGAAGAATAACATTGAAATTTTGATAGGAATTGCATTAAATCTCTATAATGCTTTTTGGTAGTACGGTCATTTTGATAATATTAATTTTGCCTATCCAAGAACATGGGTGATATTTCCATCTTCTAATGTCTTCTTCAGTTTCTTTCTTTAGTATTCTATAGTTTTCTTTTTTTTAATTTATATATGATAGT